TGAAAGGAATATCAATATATATATATATTGATATTCCTTTCAGTTCCGCCTCCAGATTAAGCCAGCGCCTCCGACGATCCCAACAATCTTTCTTCACGCCAGCCTAAGCACAATGGTATTTACATGACACGTGCCCGAAAGACTCCAGCAAACAACATTCCAAAGCGCCACCCAAATACTCACATTTCGCGGACCCGCCTCCTTCATGCCAGCTGTGTTCGGCTGAGGCCAGGCAGCCCCCTGATTGGCCGAAGGGATCACCTCAGTTCTCCTCCTCCTAGCGCTGAGTCACAATGCAACGGCCAAGCGCAGATCAGCCTCAAAAGCAAAGGGCCCTGCCGAGGGGGGATCCCGACGGCCAAGCGGGACCCACCGAATCAAATCAGGTGGTTCCCCTCCCCCCTTACCATTCGTCTTATGGTGCTTCGCCTTTCCAGACGGAGGAGGTGGGTGCGGGTTACGGAAAGCGTCCTAGCATCAACTCTTCACACCCATGGTAGAGCTTACACGTCGACAGGGCTTGTGCCTCACAACTGGTTAGCCGTTACGGTTTTCAGGCTTCCGGTATTCAGAATAGTTGTGCAAAAAGATTTGGAAGGGATAGGAATCTCTTTTTAAAACGTTTTTTGCACTTATACTTAACTGGGATGTTCTCTCAGTAAGCCCTGTTTTTGGAAATTTAAGACTTCCTCTGACAGCATTTAAGACTGCTGTTGCTAGGTATGGGGGAAAAAGACTAAATAAGGTTATATTTTCACTCCAGTTTAATGAAATTCTGAAATATTACACACATATTTATGTATATATATAAAATTTGGTATTCAAGATTATCAACCTGAAATTTGAAAATAATGGGCGTTCTTTTACTCCCAAGCACAAAACTGCTTGGGATCTTAGAATACAAAAGCTTTTTTCCCTAACTGATCATACTTGCAATTATTATGTATGTGTAAATGATACAGAGGTGGCTAAAAAAATTTTGTATGCTGAAACTGATATTTCTGTTCCAATGCATTTGAATGTGCAGGACTGATTTTGTGAATATTTGAGACAGACCAGGTTGCAGGTATCCAATCATTCACAATGGTGAATCCTGCCACTTTGTGTAATTTAATCCAGTTCAACCTATGGCAAAAGTTGTATTAATAGGAGAATTTTTTTCTTTTTCATCATTTAAGTGCATATTTAATTAAGTTACCTTGCAGATTCTCAGCCACGTATTCCAGAGAGTAGCAGCACCTAGCTTGGGAGAGAAGGAGGGTTAGGTCTGGTTAATACTTGAATGAGAGGATGTCGTTAGCCTGGAGGCTAAACTGGGAAGCTGAAAAGATATGTCAGCAGATTGTGATAAACAACTCCCATGTAGTTGCCAAGATAATGATATGGATGTATTCTTGACATTTAATTTATTAGATGTTTATCTCACCTTTATTTTTTGTCAGTTCCTGGTGGTATGCATACCTAATATTCCCACCTCTCATTTTCCCCACAACAACAACCCTGTGAGGTAGGTTGGGCAGAGTGAGAGTCACTGGCCAAAGACATCCAGCCAGCATTCATCCCTAAGGGTGGACTAGAACTCAAACTCCCCTAGTTTCTAGCCCAGCGCTTTAGCCACTGCACCAAACTGGCTCTCAAGTTGCTAGGAATTGAGCTTGATTTGAAGGGAACTTTGCCCCTATGAAATTCATATTCTTATTTGTTTACTTACGCAATTTTGTTCCCTTTAAAGCTTAAACTTAATTTCGAATATGATAACCACCTTCCACGTTTTGCAGAAGTCCGATGACATGCGTTCTACCCCCTTCTCTCAGCGGCCAATGGAGCATCACATTCATTAGGTCCATCTTCAGTGATTCATGGCTTTGACCTCACATAGACCTGTAACTGCAGAGCAGAACAGTCAGAGAGGGCAGGAATGCATAAAGGAGACCCTCACAATTAATACTGAACCTCCCTTTGTAATCTCAGCTCCAGTCATTCCCCTTGATTCCCCCTTTGGCCTCCTGTCTGTTTTCACTAGGTCCCTCCTCCAGGGCGGGGTCTAAGCAGTGATGTGAGATGAATTGACATCCCTGCAGCAGCCTGTGTAGACACAGAAGCAACCGTAGCTCCGGCCGTGAGCTGCCTCCTTTGCTGTAGCCTGATCTGCAGTCATTCATTGCTCTGGAGTAGGATAGTCGTGGGAGAGATGGTTCCTTTTTGCCTCCCTGGGAGAAATTGCTGATGTGTTCTACACTAGAGAGAGGTCGTCACGCCAGGTATCAAATAGCTGAAATACAGATTGGGCATTGTGTCACCAATCAAAGTGGGGGCAGAATGTCAAAGAAGTCAGAGATTGCTGAATTTTTCCTGCGAAGGGGACTGCTTGGCTTAAGATGCTTATAATGTTTGTCCTAAGGCAAGGGTATGGCTTTGCTTTGTGCCTAATTTTTTGCTTTTTTCTTTTTTAAACTGGACAAGCCCTCGGCTGGAAAGCATATACTTTCTAGAAAAGTACTGAACCTCAGGGATCCCCTTTCTGTCCCTGGCTGCCACCATATGGACCTGAAGATAAGCTGTATTTTAATAGTAGTTGACATAGTGACATGTCTGCAGGCGGGGAATAAGGTCTTTGTCCAGAATTCTCTGGTTGATTTAAGAAGCATATTGTGGGGAACATAAGCGACAAAGGTTGTGATAGTTGGGTTGAGGTGGTAACAAATGGAAAAGGGTTGTGGGCTTGTGGTAGAGTTTAGACCATAGTGAAATCATTTGAGAGAAGAACATAGTTAAATGTACTCTTTTTGTCTTACTGTTTGCTAAGAGCTGTTCTGAGATTAGAAAGCAGCTATCGGTCTCTCAAGGTGACAAATGATAGCAATTTTAGATGCTTAAGAGAGTGCTGAAGTTTTCTGGATCTTCTGCATCTGTGCAAATAGTATTTTCTGTTTGATTGCACAGTTGCCTAATGTGTGAGGAGACATGGTCCTTTGAAACTATTAGATATATGTAGATCATGTCAATAACCCAAATGGTATTACAATAGTGAGTTCTGTGTCTCCTGATGACATATTTACATCAATTAACACTTTAAATAATGTTTGTTTTCCCTAATACAACTGTAGGGGAACCAAGCTTTAGTGCCATGGAAGGAAGTACAATTAAAGCCATTTAAGCCTTCACATAAAGAATTATTGTTAGCATTTCTGGTATAAAGCCAGATAGAATGGGTGTGAGCTAAAACTGTTCCAGCAATGTCAGTAGGCAAGCATTAAATATGTAGAATTCTGCCACTAAAATGTATGGCGCTTTTTAAAAAGCCTATTTCCTTTCATTAGAATATTCTTTTTTTGTTTGGGGAAATTAATGTAAACCCTCAGGATGGTGTAAGTTGTATTCACATACTATTTTTTTTTTCTCTGAATTTGCCTTGATTTGTCTGCACTGGAAAAAGTTATGCAACATTACTTGAATTGTAATCTCTAAATCATGATATGTACATGGTTTTTGCATTTTAAAGCACTCATGTGGTATACTTGGTTACCCTAGGAGGAATCCACTTTGAGTTCTCTGCTTAGCCACAAAGCACTCTGGAGGATATTGGCCAATAACTTTCCTAATAGATTTCTTGTAAGGATTAAAGGGGAAATATTATGTATGCTGTCCTTGAATGAAATGTAGGATATAGCATAATAAAAAGAAATTATTATTATTAGATTTAAGTATAATGGGTTTGCACTCAAAAGTACATGGCATTCACACAGATGATGTTCCTTTTGTGAAGCTCAGTTATTCCACTAAATTTAAGGTAAAAAAGCATGCATTCAGTTACAGACTTAATATGAAAGCACTCTTTGAAACTAAAATCTACAGCTTTCTAAAATTCTGTGCAGTTGGGCCACACAAGTCTTCCCCCAACCTCGCACCCTCTAGCTGTTTTGGGACTACAACTAATGGCTTGCTGGATGGGGAATTTTAGGAGCTATAGCCTTCAGACCGTTGGAGGGCACCTGACTGGAGATGGCTGTGTAACAGGAAACTGGTACTTGTTCAAAATACTGTTACTACTACTAACTCTAGATGAGATGTGATGAGATGCAGTCTTTTACTCTCTCAGTAGCTATGATTCTGTAACGGATTACAGTTGATTTCATCAACATCAGTGAAATGATTCTGGTCACGCTGGAACACTGACCATCATTTTTGCAAAGTGCTTTCAGGCCCAGAAGATGCATTTACGTTCTAAATGGAATTTCTCATGGCTAGTTCATTGGGTGGACTTCTAAAGCACTCCTGCAGACACTTTATTAACAACATTGGGTTATGTATTGAATTTCCACTTTAAATGCATTTGCAACTTTTCTGGTTTTGGAGCACTTAGTTTTAAAGCCTTCTTTGTGCAATTAAATAGGACAAAATACATACTTTTCTCAAGATATTTGAAACTGTTAGTGGAGTTTGATAATGATAGTAGTCCCAAGCATGCCTGTACATATTAGCATTTGTTTTATTATCTTCCATAAACAAAGATCAAGTATTTGAACAAAGCCATTCTCATCTGGTAGGTATGTTGGTTTAAAAAGTGGGTCAATACAGAAGGGATTAATTTTTTTGCCAAGACTTCATTGGTGTGACTGAAATATTCTGTTCTCAAAAACAACTCTAGGCCATCAACTCTGGGGATCCTCCAATTTTCTGCTGGGGGCTATCTTTAGGTGCTGATCTTTTAAAACTGTAACAGTGAAAAGGCCCTTCTTCCAATGAGTGAGCGTGGAAACATGCATGTGCTTATACTGATCAAAGATGTTAGAAGAGTGCATGTGGTAGGAAGATGGAGCAAAGGACAAGGTATGAAGGAGTTTCTTCTTGGTGGTTATTCCATGATTATGCTTTTTAAGAGAAGACTTATCACCTTGTCCAGAGCTTGGTGATGATGGTGGTTGAAATTACATTAATTAAGCAACAAAGAGGGACGAGTTCTTATATGGCCAAAGCTAGAAATTAGATCAATGTTTCTCAAATTCAAAAACTTAAAGAAGTGTGGACTTCAACTCTGAGAATTCCTCAGCCAGCATGCTGGCTGGGAAATTCTGGGAGTTGAAGTCCACACCTCTTTAAGCTGCTGAGGTTGAGAAACACTGAATTGGACTGAAGACAACTATTGCTGTAGGTTTTTTTCCCCCAAATCAGTACATATTCTCATATAAGAATCAGGTTTTGTGTTTTTTTCCCCCATGAGTATAGCAACTAGAAATGAATGGCCTTTCTACTTAAAATAATATTTCTACTTTTAGGTAGGCATGTCCCTTGCTTCCTCAGCTTCGAGAAGATTAATGGTTTACTTTTGCATAACTAAGGCTAGCTTTTGGACTTGAAAGAGGCAGGGTTGTTTTCATAGCTTTTCTAATAGGACTACGTGAAGCTTCAGTTTGGGCATTCCACTTGAAAACAGTTTGATCAAATCTGTATATGATTTTTATGCTTCTGTGCGTGTGCAGCAATGGGTTTTTCTGATCTGATTTTGAGAAAACAGAACTGATCAGAGGATCTGAAAGTTTGCATCAGATCAGTTTTGTAAACTATCTTGAATTATTGAACTAAATTAATTTTCTGAATCAGAGTTCTGATTCTAATTGGATCAATGCTGATTTGAAAATCCTAATTTGTGGATGTGGGTGAGAAGGTCAATGAATATTGCTGTTATTCCCTGAAGGAGGAATCAGGCTGACGATGTTCTCCATTAAGCAGATGTAAATTCTTTAAAATTAAAAAATGTGTTTAACTTCAAGGTTCCTCCCACCCCATCATGTAAAAAGAGGGAATCTAGATTACTTTTAACTAGTAAAGATTTTGGGATAATACTTCTGGCGTCTCCTAGGTTTTTTTTTCCTATGCAGTTTGTTGGTTAAAGTACTGGACCAGAAACTGGGAGACTGTGAGTTCTAGTTCTGCCTTAGGCATGGACAACTTTGGGCCTGTTACTCTTTTTCAGCTTAGTTGTTGTTGAGAGGAGAACAGGAGGAGGGAGCATTATGTATGCCGCTTTGAGCAGTACAAAATAAAAGTGAGATAGAAATCAAATAAATAAATATCCTTTGGGAATTTTTACAGGATATAAAAGGCCAAAAAAAAAATGAATACATGGACTTTTCCATACCCACTCATTGTTTTCCATTATGTGTCATCTGTTAAACTGTAGGGCATCAGAACCAGAACTATAAACATGGTTTGCAGGTCCAGGTACGACAGCAAATAATTATCTGTACTAATCGAAAGTAAACAGAAAAAATCTAGAGAGGAATTGACAACATTTGGCCTTTATAAGCTCAAGTTTGCTGCCGCATAATGTATGAAAAATAGGAAGCACTTTAAATTTACAGAGCATTTTCATTTTGCAGAATGGCCTATATGTCTGTAGTAAAATATGTTCTTTGCATGCAGATCTTCACAGATTCAAATTCATGCTGCTTTAGTTAAAAGGAATTGGTAAGCAGGAGATTTTAAAAAAAGGCTCCTGTGTGAGATTGTAATAGCTGCTGTTATTTAGGTGAATAATACTGATATAGATAGAAAAGCATTTGATTTGTTTGCTAAATGAGATTTATCAGTTTTACAGATTAGAGATCCATGTCTTCTCCAATACAGTAGCCACCTGACTTCCTGTTGCACTTTTCAAAAGTAGCTTTGCTTTTCATCCCACTGCCATTCTTTGGAATGAGTGGCAGTATTTTATTTAGTTGTGTCATGCAGACTGTGGAACTTGATTTCTCAAAACGTTTGGCTGCAATCTTCATTTTTGACAGCTGGCAAAGACTTTTCTTTTGATTTCCTTCTTTCAGTCTTTGTTGTGCATTTAAGGGATTCTGTTTGTTTAGCTTTCAGTACATTTTATTATACTTCTTTGGAGGCTGAAAGGCAGTTAGATTCAGGAGCTTTCTGTAGATACGTTTTGTCATCTTTTTCTCATTGTAGTATGATATTTCTTCTAAAATGTGAGAAAGTAGGAAGCCATAAAAAAGAATTCCTAAACTAAATTGGGTTTAGTTGGTGTTCATTTTATTAATTAGAAGAAGTGGAAGAGTTCAGTATAGTGTGGTTCAGAAAGTTCATGCTTTTAAGTACTGTGCTCAGTCATTGGAGACTAAGTCGTGTGTGTGGCTTTTTTGACTCATTTTAATGACAATATTCGCTATAGATGTAGGTTGAATTTCAGTAATGTAAAGCTTTTCTAATGTTTTAAAACAGAGTTTAAATTAAATAAAGTTGAATTATTCAGTTGAGAATTCTTTCCAGAAGTCTTTTAATCATTGTTTTGAACATACATATCCAGGTTATTATCAAAATGAAATGTTTCCCTCTCTTCTGCACATCTTTCTCTGCTTGATAATTTTATGGTTTATCATCAGTTGGCAAAGAAAAGCCTATGGAAAAATGCCATTTCATAGGCTTGTATGGAAGTTCCTATTTAATAATGCAAGCAGTATTGATTTTGTGGAAAGAAAACTGAGGAAGGAAGTAAAAGGCGGGCACAGATTCCTGTTTTCTTGTTCTTTCATTCTGACCACTCTTGCTTCTGCCCACTAGGCAAAGTCTGTGTCCAGTTTCACAATGTGGACTTGTTAGGGCATCTTAGTCAAAGATGGGGGAGTAAAGGAGATGATATTCCAAGCAGTTTATCTATTTATAATTTCAGTTTCTAATGCTGCCCACTTGAGAATTACTCTGTTGCACCTCACTCTGCTCCTAGCAGAGTTGCATCTAGCATTCTGGATTTTTTTTTTTTTTTGGTACATTGTAAGTTATATGGGACTGGTCACTTTGAAAATACTATAATCTCTTTTAGTTTAATCTGTTGCTAGAGAGAGGGGTATGTGCCACATGATCAGCTTTCTCTTCCCTTCTTCACTCTCAGGTGGTGCCTTGTAGCAGGTGGACGTGAAGGTGTCTCACAGTTGTTGGAAAGGGTTCCCTGATCACTCTGGTCAGCTTTTGCATGTTGAATCTGAGGCAGGGAAATCTTGTTACTCATCTCAGGTAGCAACTTATTTTGGACCAGCCTGCTGAGATAAAGGTTTGAAGGGCAGTCTACTTTCTGTGCTCCTTGGGGAGACCTTTGTGTTCAAGAAGGCTTTGGAAGGATTATGATAGAAACATAGGAAGTCTTCAGTAGATTGTGGTTTTAGAATACTTCTTGTAGCCCATTTCCTGGTGTCTTAGTGTTGTAAATACTAAGGATGCATCCTGGCTTGAGGGGAGGCAAGCGGTCATGCTGAAGAGAAAAAATGGAAATAACTAAAGATAGCTTTATGGCTGAAGATAGCTTTTCCACTGTTTGTCTTGGGTGATTTCTTTTTTTCCCTCCCACCTTCCCTGCCTATGTCGAGTGATATGAAAGAATTCCTTTCTTGTCCTGGAATGCCTTTCCAGTTAACCTCTGTTACTGTTACTCAAAGTGGCAATGCTCTGCAGCTTTGGAGTGCAGTTTAGACTTGTTTTTCATTTGCAGCAACTGGATTCATGTGCAAAAAGAGGGATGTCCACATGCAGATATATGATATAAATTAAAGAAAAAGAAGCCTTCAAGCATGAGATCAGCCCAGGAATTTGTGACATGTACCAGAATCAAGCTTGCACACCGTTTTGGGAAAAATCTACTCCTGGTTTCCCCCCAAACATTCTTGATCAGCAATCCGATGAGGAGTTACACACACGTTTTTAATTATTGATATTATTGAGTTGAAACAACTGAAATGCTTCTGATCTACTGCAGATCACTCGGGAATCAGTCAGTAGGTCCTGATTTAGCTTCTGCCCGTCCTTCTCAGTTTTTTAAAATAGTCACAACTCTTTCTTCTCCTTTTCTGTAATCCCATCATCGCTGTTGTTGGTTGTTGTGAGAATTAATTCTCACACAGTATGCATAAACCCAAATGAACAGGCTGCTACCAAAACAAGGAGCACATCTCCTGCCAAAAAGAGAATTGCTTTTAGGCCTGTATGTAGAGCAGGCAGGAGCAAGCAGTACAAGAAACTGAACATTGACTGTAGTATAAATAAAGCTTGCAGTCACTGGAATTCTTTCATAATGGTTTCATAGTTTTGCTACAACAAGGCAACCTACCTGAGCCTTCATATTGTGCAAAATATATTTTTGCCAAATTTTGCCTTGCTAGATGAGAGAGGCCTGATAATTGTTTTCAGTAAGGAGGTCTTCATGTGTACTTACTTCCTCTTCTATTTCAACTGGAGAGTTAAAGGGAAGGATTTCAAGCATATAAACAATAGCAACTATCTCAGATGCGACCCCAGAGGAAATACACGAAAGGCTGAGGGATTATTACATTTGTATGTCACTCTTCCTCCAAAAAGGAATCGAAAACAGCATTAATAGATAAATTATCCCTTTCACAACAGTAAGACTGAGAAATATGGCTGCTCAGGGTCATCCAGGATTCAGTAGAACTTTGAATTCAGGTTTAATATTTACAGCACACTGATTTACTGAGGCTTAACTAACATTTTGTTCATCACAAGTACGATAAACTCAAGGCAACAATGGGTAAAGAAACTTTTTCAACCTGAAGGGCAGCAGTTGGCATTGCTAATGACATGAGATCACTGAAACAGTGCTTTGTGGCTTGGGCAGAATTTAAAGGGCAAAGCACCAGTTTTGCCCCTTGATGCCTTATGAGAAAAATTAGTTCAATTTTCAGGAGTTTTTCAGGGTTCTAAACATGGAATGGATGGCTTAAGATATTGCCAGGCTTAAGAAACCTCTTTTGCCACTTAATGATCCTCCACTCTTCCCAACGGACATCAAACAGTGTGCTGGGGCCTGGAGATGGAATCCTGGGGGGTCCATGGGTCTGTGACTTGTGCACCCCATCCTAAACTTTCCTGGATTACTCTTCTGCTTGCTCTGGGAGAATTCTGTCTACCTTTGAGACATGGGTGTTATTTCCTATTGTTCAAAGCAGCATTAAAAAAAAATGGTATACATAATGGAGAGATCATTTAATCTGCTCATATTATTCCCTGCTTTCTCAGCAGAGGGTGCCCATCTTTGACCGCTGTCCTCTATTTTCTTATCTGGGAACGCTTTTTTTACTTGGTCAGACACCTATAAGGACTCATAGGGATTGTTAATACTGGTAACGTGCAATGTTTTAATAGCACGCAGTATGCTTTCCGTTCAGTAATAGGATGGTTTATTATTATTACACATTTCAGAATTTATAGTAGCATTTCTTATCAGGAAATTATCTGGTGCTTGTTCCATTGAAATGGCCATTTCAGTGACTCAGGAAATCTCCTTGGTTGCAGTGGGTGTGTAAACCAAATAAATAAATAAGCTCATAATAGCATAACTAAAAGAATGAAATTAGAGGTAATGGCTCATGGTTGTTTCCCAGCATCCAATGCAGATGCTTGGATCCAGGAGTGGAGGGTTAAGTTTTATTACCATAGTATGCTGCCTCTTTCTTTTCCTTTTCCTGCTCAAAGGCCAGGTCGTCTCCTTTAGCTCATTAGGTCTGCCTGAAGAAATATGGTCAATTCTGCCTGAGACTTATTTTTTAAGTGCAAAGAATTATTTGCTCTTCTGTTACTTTGCAGAATTGCTTTGGCTTTGCAAGGATTTTCTGCAGCTGTTGTAGGAATGCAAATCAGCAATCATCTAATGATAATTTTCTTCTGTTTTTCATTTCCAGGCGCAAACCATGAATTACGTTGGACAGTTAGCAGGGCAAGTCTTTGTGACAGTGAAGGAACTCTATAGAGGATTAAATCCTGCCACGTTGTCTGGATGCATTGATATCATTGTTATCCGCCAGCCTAATGGAAACCTCCAATGTTCACCTTTCCATGTACGCTTTGGAAAGATGGGAGTTTTGCGTTCTAAGGAAAAAGTGGTAGGGAAAAAAAATCTTCAATCCAATTTTTGTTTGTCAGATGTATACCCTTTGCCCAGAATATTGCAAAAGGGAGTGTTTGTATTTGTTAAGTTTGGTAAGACATTGAATGTGAGGTCACATTTGGGCACAAGGATTGGAACGGTTGAAATGTTGAAACCTTTCCTTTCTGCCATTTTCCCAGAAAAATTTCAGCTCTCCTATTTTATTTGCTTCCCAAAGGGAACGGCTGCAGCCATAAATAGCAGCTTCTCATCCCAGCATACTGCAGTTATGAGGAGAGCAGATGTGTGTCTGACAGCCATTTAATCTTAAAAAAAATGAACTTGGTCCTCAGAATACACCTACAACACTTGTATGAAATCACAAGATCATGAGTCCAAACAAAAAAGCACTGCCTGTGGATTTCTAAAAAAAAAAGTCATCAGCATTTTCAGCAAGTGACAAAACTATGTGGGTTGTAACTGCTGTGAGTCAGACTGATTGTGTACTCAGGAATCATTTGTTGTGCATAAGGCCTTTTATCATGTCAATGTATCTAGCAATGAAAGCAAGTTTATTTAGCTCCTCACTTCAGCCTATCCCTTGATAATGATTACCTTAAGCTCTTTTATGAACTTTATATGCCAGAACTTGTAGTGAAATAAGTGAGATTTAAAAGACCTTAAATCAGATATCATCACCTGGGCTAGGTAAATAATTCTTAATTTTTGCTAGATTATGGTCTTCACTCCTAATGTTACTTGGTGCAGTATACTGATTAATAACAACATCTGGGACGTTCTGGATTCAGACATTATCATCTGTGAATCTATTAGCAGAACTTAAGGCAACCTCAGTTTTCTCATTTTTAAAGGTAGAATACAACTGATCAGTCTTACAGAAATTGTTGATGTAATGCGAAGTCCTTTAGTCACCTGGACACTGTTGAACAGGTGCTGTAAAATGGATAAAAAGTTCTTTCACTTAAGGAATGAACATGTATTTTCTTGAGGTTTTTTTAAATCCATGTTTATTTGTATGTCTTCTCTCTCAAGGTTGACATAGAAATTAATGGAGAATCTGTGGATTTGCACATGAAATTAGGGGACAATGGAGAAGCATTTTTTGTAGAGGAAACAGATGACAAACAGGTGAGACCATCCCCCATATGTATTTTGTTTATCATAATTTATAGGGCCCAAAGGCAGATAGAAATCAATATCTATAACAGAGCAAGGGATTGATGTGTGTTTTAAGAGATCAGTTATAGTAGGATTATCTACTATATCAGGCTTTTTTCCCCCTCCATCACATTTTGTTTGTCATGTAGGACTAGACTTATGTCTAAAATAGCCACTAGTTCACATGATCACATTCTTCAAATTATTTCAATAAAGTCTGTCAAGTAGTAGCTAGACATTATGGAATAAAATGAGTGGTTAGTACCATTTTCCCTGGTTATGGATAAGAGCCATTAACAGAGAAAAACTGGTATATAATAAGTTTGTACGTTATATCATTAATTGTTACTGATTTTGCAAATTGGTTAGTAGTAATAATCAAGCATTACCAGGGCTCACTGACTGGTAAAGAAAACATTAAATCTGAGATGTTTTCCTGATTCGTACATTTTTTCAAGTTTGCTTTTTCCAGAAGAGTTTTTGTCAAGAGAGTTATTGGAAGATATGGATAGATGGGTGGATAGATAGATATATCTGTGTGTGTGTGTGTGTGTGTGTGTGTGTAATATTTATATCTCTATTTATATACACATACACACACACATACTCTGTCAGCCTTGAAAGGTTCACTTGTGAGAAACAGATTTGGAGCATGTGGATGGACTATTGTTGTATTTGAGTTGGCAGCACAAATATCAGATGTCAACAGGCTTGTGTTTCCTTCCTTTAGGAGGCAATTCCATACCATTTGGCTACATCCCCCATCCTGTCAGAGGGAACTGCTCTCATGGAATTACAACTGAAGAGAAATTCTGTTGATAGGATAAGGAGCATGGACGCTGCTGGTCCTTCCCAGCTACCAACCCCTACTTCTCCTTCTGCAGCTGAATCCAGTTCTGCAAGTTGTTCTGTGAAGAAGAGGAGGAAGAGGAGAAGGAGATCTGCCCATAAAATAGACATTTCAAAAAGAGATGAAAATGCAGATACTACTGAAGATGAAAACATGTTCCCTATAGAAATGAGTTCTGATGAAGAAAATGAGCTGCTAGATACTAATTCAAGGTATTATCTAATCTAGAGGTCTAATTTATTAAAACTTAGTTTTTTCAAGTCAGATATTTTAACATTTAAACATTTGAAATAAACATTTGTTCTGCTTTTTTGTAGTGCAAGAATTATGGAATGCCCATAAATTGTAGATTTTATTTTGAATAAAATCACAGGATTACAGAATTACAGTTACTTTGTGAAGTTTAGTTTAAGAGTTATGTTCAGATTTGAGCTGTCATTCATGTTGTGTTGTTTTTCCATTTTTTAAAATGTTGGTGTCTACAAGAATTGCAGCATAGCATCCAATCAATTCATTGCTGTGATTTTTGTAATGAAATCAAGTATCCTTATCAACAAGTAGGTCATATCCATGGACTGCCTCCTACTTGTCCTTGCTATTGCAGATTCCCAGCCTTCCTCTGTTTACTCCCCTTTATTTAATAAAGCAGAACCAAGAAAAGGAAAAGAAAAAGAAAAAGAAGCAGTAGTGAAAGAAAAGAAAGGGTATTGCTTGTTTCCTGTGCACATGTGCAGAGATATTTCATTCATCCGTATGTGTAACTGTCTGAAAAATTAGATGGGAATTTCAGAACATTCCAATCATTCAGCCTCTGTGGCTTTGTTCTCTGACACTTGTGTTTTGTAACACTGAAGGGATTTAATATTTGCAACAAGTTCTTGAGTAAAGAGATTGATGAGGTCGGATAAAGTTGATTAATATGTAAAAATATTGTGCCTAGAGAACGGTGGGTAACTGGATGTTATCAACTAGCCGTTGACAGTTGCTTCATACATATGTTTCCTCCTTCAGAATTCATGCATTCTTACAGAAATATATATATTTTAAAAGAATACATATTTGCATGTAGATGTGAATAGGCAAAACATTTATTATGCACTGCCCAAAAAAGAAAGGCAAAGGCACAGCTGCATTTGTAATATTTTGAAATTCCAGAATTCTGATTTTTTTAAAAATTTGCATGCACATATGTTCAAGATGTCTAAGTAAAGTTGCCTGTTTCCTCCATCCCTCCCCCAGTTAATTGTGTTGTGGTGCATCTGCAATTTTGAAGCATTGTACTCCTGTTCTAAGTCTTTCTTTCAAAATAAATTATCCTCATTAAGTGAAAACAGGATAAAAAACAACAACCAAATGACTAAAAGATAATAACACCATCTGTTTGCTCCACTGAATTTGTAAAGAATGATAACTAAAACATTTTAAAGAATTCATCTGGAAAGAACCTCAGAGTAATGTAATGTAATGTAATGTAATATGAAAGTTTTACCAAGAATTCCTAACTAAGATCGTTACGGAAAATTTAGAAAGTAAATTTTTGCCAGAAAATGCAATCACAGGTTTTTTTTTTATTTGTACATTTTCTTAAAGTATCTAGATGTTGTTACATTAACATTAGCATCCATGAATTTAAAATACGTTAGTTTTTACATTGCTTTGTTGTGCCACTATTCTAGCTATCAACATATATACAGTATCAAAAATGGGCATTTAAAACCCTTTTTTTTTCTTTTTGTGTTCAGAACATCTGTCCCTGATCTGTGCAGGGACGAAGCGATTGAGGTGATTTCTTCTATAAATGTACTTGCTCATCCCCACTCAGATGGAGAATGGTCACCCAGACAAAGGTACAATACATGTTACCAGGATAACTCAAATAATCTCCTGTCCATGTGATGAACGCTTTCCATGAACCCCTTCTTTTCAGACTTACACAGCAGTTAAAAGAAGGACAAGACTTTCCATGCTTCTGGCCTTGATGCTATGAGTATATCTCTCTGGTTTCAACTCCATTTAAACATTCTCATAGTTACAATAGTTAAGCCCTTCCAGCTTCAGTCATCCATTGAGGGCTTAGCTATATATTATATGTGAATATGTGTAAGCAAATTTCTTTCACTTCAAACTGTGGGTAGATGAATTGTCTGGAACAGTTTTAAGTGGGAAGTAGGGAAGGATTAGTCCAAGCTTTGTTCTTCTAACAGACAGAAAATCCAGATTTTTTGAGATGCCCTTCTACATTTTGCTTATAATAGATGTAGTTTGATCCCTATCTTGCTAGGAATGCTTTTTGGTCTTAAGTATCCATTATCAGGTATGATGTTCTCTTCATTGGTATAAAAATCCATCAATGCAAATAGCCTGTGTTAGTGTCCTAATGCAATCTTATGGAAGGAAGCAGATCTGTAATTCCTACCAATGTTTAGTGTGATGTCATTATGCAGATACATGAAGGCAGATGGAATTTTTTCATCTTTGGAACATTCCACTTTGCAGAGCTCAGTTTCCATGGCGGCAAATGAAACCCCATCTCAATGTGTGGCTCCTGTATTGACACACTTGAAGTGTAGTCCAAACTGCTACATTTTGGTAGTGTGGCCACGGATTCTTGTATTCTCATTTTCACGTTGAGGCCAAATTCTGTAAATTCATGATTTTTTAAATTATGTATTGATTAATCAGACATTCTTTGCCAATTTCAAAATACATTTTTTTCCTCACAGGAAAAAAGCCTGTCATTTTAGTCAACTCATTTTGACCTGAAGTGCATATGCCCACCTTTGTGAGAAATAGTTGTATATATCTGCCTGTTTCCTCTGTAGGTGTGTGGCAACTTGTCCTTTTTTCCTTCAAATACTGAGGTGTTGCATCATCACACAAAGCCTTTATGGCTCCTTAGGGTTGAGTGCTGCTTGATTTGATGTGATTACGTTACCATATATTATAAAGGTGCCTGTGGTGATTGCAGCTTATTGTTAAGCTTTTGTGTAGAGTAGTTTAGTGGTTTCTTAAACTATATTCTGCCTTCCTCTATGCTCGCTTAGAGCAGGTCTGGATCTTGTCATTTAGAAACTCCCTTTTGTTTAACCCAATTTGGCTGTTTTCCACAAGGCAAATGACAGCCTCAGCAGCACAGGTTGATTTGGAACATACCTCAGGATAATGTTGCCTAATCTTTCTCTTTTTTTTTTCCTGCTATATTATATTATCCAGTAAACCTAGAACTTGCACAGGGAGGTCCTCTCATCTCACTGTTCCAGCAGAGGGAGGCTTATCTAGTTCTTGTCCTGACCCGTCTTCTCACTGTCCTGCTACAGACAGGTAGAACAGCCAATTGCATTTTTGGAATGGTGATTAACCGTTTAATACTGTTAACAGTATGCAAGCTTGCTGGGTCTCATCAAACTGGTATCTTTTACTAACTCATGGCAGGAAACTGGGAAGTGGTTCTTAAAGTTTTTGTTTGGGATTTTTTAAGTCATAGCATTAATTATACAAGCCTGTAAATCTCCAGCCAAAGAGTGAGTGGTTGTTATATATTCATTCTTTGTTTATTGCTCTAGGTCCTGCACATGGATGTCATGGCACTGGTTCTTTTCCACCCTTTTCCTTTCTTCAGAATCTTTTCCTGTCCTTCCTTTCACCCTGCCAGCACTAGAATCCCTTGATTAGTGCTTTACATTTTTTGCTTTTCTATGTCTTCCAAAACTTGGGTTCTTAACTCCAGGCTCCTGTTTGCTAGTCCAGCCCTCTGTATCAGCAGAGAACAGTGTAGTTGTTGACAGCAAGTCAGAAGATTTCCTCAACTGCACAATATAGTTTGTATTGTATTTTGCTAATCATACTATATTATATATATGATATATAACTCCAGTCATAGCTCACCTGCACAGGGATTTGGATGCAGAAATGGAACTCTTCTGATTCTAAGGTTTTGTTCATTCAGTGAAAGGAACCAATTTTGCACATACGATTTACATGCCAAAAGAGCTGTCTATTGTCAAGTATATAGAAGAGTGCTTGACCAGGATAGGAGAGTGCCAGAATCAGCACCCTATATTTTCATTAAAACCAATCTAATTTGAAATATTGTAAGAACGGGATTCTTACAGTTTACAATTCTTTAAAATGTATGCATCCAGTTTGTAAGTTTATGAATATATAGAGAATTAGATTATCCTAGACCTGCAAAACAGATGAAATAGGTGATATAATTCTAGGACAAGAGTCCATTTCAAATGAAAGTTAATTTAAAAGTGATCCATGGTTGTGCAGGACAAGATTGGAGTGCAGTCTCTGAGACTTCTCTCAAGTGCAAACTGTAGCCATAACTTTCAACAAAGAAATGATTAGCTTGGTCTTGTAGTTGTCTGGTAGTTCTGCTCTTCATGCAGCTAATAGAGAAAGATTTTGCACAGACTTTCCATCTCCCAAGGGAAAACCAGACGTACTTAACTTAGTTTCCCAAAAACTTTTTAAGCAAGCAAAAAGTAAGTTGTAACTTTGCATGAAAAAAAAAGCATATAAAGTGGAGATCAGCAATTAGAAACTGTAGCTGAAATTGTTCTGAAGCAAGAGAATTTTATGGAGGATTGTGGGCCCACTTGTTAATTGCTTACATGCTTTTTGAAGCGTGGGAAATCTTTAGACTGGCTGAAAACCTCTGTCACAAGGAAGTTTTGTGTCTTGGGGTTTCCTTTACACCGGCTGGCTGGTGTACTTTTATAGATTCATAACTTTCTTCAGAGAGCATTTGCTTGTGGTTTTTTTCTCTGTCTGATGGAAAAAGAAATATAGTTCCCATTTCTGTAGTTGTTGAGTTTCTTATAGAGAGCAACCTGTCATTAACGGTGAATGGCTTGTTTTTTATCCTATGTTATTGCTTCAGGTTCACATATGTATACAAGCTGCTTATCCATATGTTTTCCACACTCTGAAACAAGTTATATTGATCCTTAAATGTAAAGAAGTATACTAAAGAAGCCTTGAATAAGCCTATATTTTAATCCATATTTAAACAAGAATATTAAAATTTAAATGCATAATTTAGTGATATAATTCTGTATTCAGAAAGATCAGTACATTTCACAACCAGGAAAGTTTGTGATTTTCAGATTGTATCTAGATTTTGTAAAAATACAATAAAACCCAAATTTTAATAAAATTCTGTTTTTTCTTTCTCCAACTTGATCTATTTTTGCTGTCTTCCAAATTCTAGCCATTTTTTTTCTTTTCCTTGATAGTTTTCTTTCTGGGGATTATTATTACAACATAAACAAATGGAGCTTGTAAATAAATATTGCAATGTGCTTTCAGTTAGGGGTCTAGACATGCCTGATTTTATTTTTTGTTCCTTTTTTTTTGGATTGGGGTAGTGGGATACTTACTTAGCCAACTCCCAGCTACATTAAGATCTTTGATTTCAGTCATGCAATTGATTTCCATGAACAACTTGACTTCTATATGCTGGGACATATTATAGTGGCTTCCCAGGGTAAAGGCCTATCTAGCTAATGAAGTGGTTCTGTCTACCATGTTTATTTCTTTCTCTGTTCTTTTTTCTTCTTGACCATTACATACCTCTGGTTATCAGTTTTCTCTCACCTTCATTTGTCCATATGCTGTGCCATTGAATCATCATCTTACTTTATTTGGACATAGGGAGGATCAACTCTTATAAAGCCTTTGTCTACCAGCATTTGTTTCTTATGTATGGATGGTATAGTTTTGACTACATTTGTATTAACATTAATCAGTTTTAAATCGATAGTCTGTTCCCTCCCTCCCTCCCTCCCTTCCATTATGTTTTCCTGTTCTGTAACACTCTTCACAATGAAGAAATTCACTAGTATGAGGAAGTGGGTCCTGCAACATCTGTTATTTTTTCAACTATTTTTGGCTCTATTAACCCCCAATCCTTTTCACTATATTTGTTCAGTTTATTTTTAAATGCTATTTCAAAGTTGTGTTATAGGCTCAGCCAATTGGCATACCAATGAGTGATGTCACATTGAACCATCATATATTCTTGAAGTACTTTATGCTTCTTTTAAGTCTAATAGAGTAGTATGTGAACTCTACTGCTGTTCTATTTAGTTAGACTAAATATACTCTATTTAGTCTGCTAAATGTGAGTCGGATTATTTATTTCCTAGGCAACAGTCAATTTTTTCCAAAGATAGGATTTATTCCTATACGTTTGTTTATTGTACTTATATTTATTTGTATATAAAGCTTTTTTCTAGTTACTCCATTGTCAGTAGTTCCTACAAAGTAAGAAGACTGAATCATTCCTATTGCTTAAGCACACCCATGAATTCAGTTTCATATATTTATACTTTGATGAAGCTACATCATTGATATAGTACAGGATTATCAGAATATTACTGAGCAAAAAATATGTATGCACAGAGGACAAGATGTACTGTTAGGGTTGCTTGTGCAGTACACATACAATATGTGTATACTTATAAATTATTAGTACTTCTCACTTTGCCGGTGTTATCTTTGTGTGCACCCTCTAAGAATTGAATCTAGGCGCCAATTTTTTCCTCCCTCCTCAGTAATTGATTAATGGTGCTATAACTGATCAGTGCTTAAAATGATACATACTTTAAACATGTAATTTATTTACTCAGAAACTTGTTCTTTGTACTACAGGACCTCAGCTATGGTGCCAATCAAGTTAGGGATTCAAACTGATTTTTTTTTCAGAGCTATTCCTGTGCCAGCAATTTTATTCCTATGTGGAAAAAGAAACCACTGAGTGAGTGGGTTTACATGGATTTAACGAGGGAGTACAACATGTTTTGATTCTGAAACAGTTTGAGCTTAAAATATCGTGTTTCAACTTCGGACTGATTGTATTGAATTGAAATGTGTTGTTTGGACAATGCCAGGAGTATTATGAACTTGAAACAAGGTTCTTTTGAGCTCAGAATACCTGTTTCAGACTTGAAACAAAGCTATTTTGGGTTCAGACTGTTCTAGTAAGGTTCGGACAGTGTGTTTCAAGTGTGAAACACCTTTCTCCTTATTTCAGGAGCCAGTGTATCTGTGCACATTGCAGTTCCAATATGTGTCTTCCTTTTTCTGGGCATAAACAGCATGAATCATCCTTTGTTGATCTTGCTCCACTAAAGCAAGAATGAGAGGAAACCTTTCTGGTTTTTTGTGGAGGGTGGGGGCATGCTCCTAAATTGTTACTTTGCGGTGACCTCTTGGCATCTTCCTTTAAAATATGCATCCTACTGAAACTAATACAATTCACCTATGCATAACTCTGTGATTACTTGAAAACGTATATAGTATCCATTGGGGAAATCCTCTGTTAAAAAGGTAAAGCAGAGTGAGTTTACTGTTTGTGCACTTGTAGCGCTGTGATACTTGTTTCACTGGCTATGATATGGCCATAAGTACAGCTGAAATCCTGAAAGAAGTATTTGAAAGCCTCTATCAAACAGAAGAATGGGACTATTAGCTAGAATGTTGAATCTCGCTTTAGTTTAACATCATCTTAATCTCCTCATTGGTCCTTGCAGTTTGGGCTGCTTCTTGATCAAGACTTATATCCAAATTGATTTAGTAGGCTTAGGTCCATATTGGCACTCATGATAAAGAGTTAAACATCATTTTTATCCTGCTGTAACTCATAGTCTTTCCCATTCTTCCCTGTTCTTTTGCAGTCCTTCAGGTTCACGACCTCCCACTCCTAAAAGCGATTCTGAATTAGTTAGTAAGCCTCTGGAAAGAGCTGTTCAGAACAATAATCCTCAGATGCATTGGGACTGGGGAGAACTACCTCAAGCCACAAAGGTACGTGAAAAGAAACGAGAATCATACATTTCAGATAAGGTTTTTTTTTAAATAGAGTATCTTGAGTTTTTCTTGTACCTGAAGGGGACATAGAACTATGAAGTGGCTAATAGATACATAGGGAAGATTTAGATATTACATTAAACCATAGCTTATTATTAGTATTAGGAATATTGGACGCTTGCCTCTCTCTCTTCTAACTGGTGTTTTGCCATGGCTTTTTGGAGAGGGGAAGGATCTGTTTCTCTTTTAAACTGATTTCAGTTAGTTTTAATTATAGTTTATCCAGAAAAACCAACTTTTGATCATGGTTTTGGATCCTTGCTTGTTCAGTTAAGCCAGAATTAAAACCAAGAATAATTTCTGGTTGATATAAAAACGATGAAGTATAGCTTAAAAGCCGACGGTGATGCTTCCTATGCAGTGGTACCTGAGGAAGTGAGAGGGGTGGGAATCAAATGTATACATGCAAAACTAAACCATCCTTTAGTATTATACCACGATTACTGTCACATTCTGGAAAACACAATAACTGAATATGTGAAAGGAAGCAAAATTGTTGCCTGGTCTTTGGCCCTTAACTTACAAATGGGTTTTTGACTGATCTCCAACATCTCAATACTAAGCAGAAGTTGAGATACAGAATTCACTTAAAACAATTCTATACATATTTAGGAGCTCTCCTTTGACCAGGATGCCTGATTATGACTGACTAACCTCTATAACGACTGTGAAGTTTGTTTTCCTGTGGCAGTTGAGAGCAGAGGGGGAAGAATTGTTCCCACTCTTCTTCTAGTGTTGAAAATGTGGATTCAATTATGAGCAGAGGATTGGTTCTCTGTAATAAGGAATCTTATCCCTTACTCGGTTTTTTTTCATTACTTTATACATGGTGCAGAGGAAGGAACTCAAGTTGTATTTTGTTTTGGATCCTGTCAGTGGTGCAGTAATCTTCCCAATAAGAAATCTTCCCAATAAGAACTGAGTTTTCTTAGTATGGCATTCTGTAAAAAGTTATTGTGAAATACCCTGTCTTTGTTCCTTCATAGAATTCAATGCAAAGATTATTCCCTGGTGGCCTTCCATCCTGCTGCTGCCAAGACTAAGGTTGTGTAGTTCTGTCAAGATCAAGTTGTCATGAGACTGTGCCCCAGGACAGCGGCCAACAAATGTCTGAAAACATATTATCATACCAGAAAGCAAGGCTGCCTCTGTCTTTGGAGAATATATACTTGTGGGCAGATCCAGATTTGTTTCAATGCATTTTGTGAAATGATCATAATTGTTCATTGGAGGGATTTGCAATGTGACATGAGTGCAACAAGGTTGCTTTTGTTTCTCACATTTTGTGTCACTTTTTGTTCTTCCAGGAACCTTCTTTAAATTCTGTGCTTTCCTTTTTCCTTTCTAGGCTGCTTCCTCACACAAGCCAAAAGAACCTAGCACCACAATGAATGTGAATCCTTCTGGAAGCACTCATTTTCGAGTCATCCAGAGTACTGATCCAGAAGAAGTTCAGAACCTCTCTTCCTTACCTGTGTTGGTTCTGGAAGAAGCAGAGCTCCCAGCAGCTGTACCTGAAGTAACCGAGCCAGATATAGACACGTTAGGAGCGGCAGCCCCTCCGCTTCTTGCCAGTGAAGAAATAAAACCAGCTATGACTTGCTTGATGCAGCCAGCTAGCAAAACAGATTCTCCCTCCAAAAAAAAAGGTATAGCATTTTTTGCAACCAAGTGTTATTAGCAGCAGCTTGTTACAAGTGAAATTAACTGCCCTTTCCAAGAAATGAGATAATGAGGGGAAAGAGAAAGCAATTTGCCTCTTATGTCAACAGAAGTGGAATGTGGGAACTTTGCATGCCAAGAGGCTTTTCACTGACAAAGTCCTTCCTTCCTTAAACTTGGGGGAGCAAGAGCAAAGACAAGAGCTGCTTTAACGTCTCCGAGCACCCCTTTGCTGTTGGCAACCTAAAATGCTCCAAACATCATGGGAAATGGTGCCTGTTCTTCTTGAAACTCTAGTTCTATAGGTCCTTTCAATGCCTATCAGAGCAGAATCATTCAAATGCCATTTTGGTTAAAGGTGGGAAAGCACCAGCCTACAAGCCAAAGGTAGACCTCTGAATTCTTCCCTGTCCACACCCCCTTCCGCAATCCCATTTTTGTTTTGTCCCTTCCCCTATTACAGGCATGAAGCATGCAGTCTGCCTTCTCCCCCTTTTTCTACATAGAATAATGATAACATTCATGTTGTTATTTCACCTACTTTTACCTCTAGAATTCTGTTGAAATGCAGATCTAAACAGGTTTCAGACCTCAACAGAAAATAATTTCCTCATCCCTGCTTTAGGTGATTTTTCAGTTATCCAAGATAAGCAAATGCCATCCCCAATTTCTTTATCCTTATTAGCTTTTCACTTTTCAGACTTTTTTCTGGGCAGGAGTCCAACGTTTACATATAATTTCACTTAAGATAACGTTCAGTGAGAAACAGAAAAAATGAAAGAATGGATGCTTCTGTGAATTGTAATAGAAGAGCCACCTTAAATGACAGGAGAGTAGAAAGAGAGATTGGTCTCTTAAATCAGGGTGGGGCCTGAGGTCTAAGGGCCACATACCATTCCAGTCCTCTTTTTTTTTTTTTGCAACCCAGAACACACTCATTTTGACACAATTAATATTGCAGTTTTCTAATCTTTAAAAAGGAAAACATTCTAAACTGTGCTGTAAACCATGGAATATGTTTACTATAATGCAGGAAAGCCTAAACAGAAAAAACCAAAAACTCCCATGTTTGAGATGTGACTTCATCTACTCAGTGTTATTTGCCCACCCATTTCTGCACCCACAGAAGCCTCCCTTCCCAAATTAAGTGTGGTCATCAAAGGAGAGCATAGTTCTACCTAAAACATTAGATAGTGTAGAATCACACATTGAAAGGTCAGGGTCTGTACTTTGAAAGGGCAGAAACTTAGTACAACATCTGAACATTTATCATTTATCTGTTTCCTGGAATTTGAAATTGTTCACCTTCCAGTAAAATCATCTGTGTTTACTTCAGCTTACCTGTGGTTGTGTGCAATGCAACTGTAAAATCAAAGATAGTGTGAATCTAATTAACTATGAAAGTGAACGTTCTTACATTTTTACCTATCTTATCAAGGATACAAGCTGCTTTCTCTTTTTAAGCTGTTTCCTTTTTTGTTCTTTTGCACAACGAATAGATGGAATCCTAATTGTTTGAAATCTATCTGGAGGTTTTTTTAATGGAAAGCAGTATGCAAATTTTCTAAATAACCAGAATAAAATGATGGAAAATTCCCCTTTGTTTTAGTCTTCATTAGTAAATTCAAATAGAAGTTTTATGACTGTAAACTCAGAGGCTTTCTTCAGTATTATTCCTGTAATAATTTTCTACCTCTTCACTTGCAAGTATACTTCTAAAAATCCATGTGTTTTTTTTTTCAGTATTAAAAACTGTAGAACTAATCACTTAAATTCCTTTGTGTCATGGCATTTTAGAGAAAGCTATTACTTAAAATGCATTATTATAAACATTTCAATTTTCTAATCATATGCCCTAAGCAAATTAGAAGACAAAAACAAGTTATTCCTAGAAATCACAAAGAGGATAAGAACTCAAGAATGTACAAACATGGAAGTGACAAAGAAGAGAAATTGATTGATAGGTCTGTTCTAATTTATGATAACACTAGTGATGATTCTCGTCCTGTGTTGTGTTGCAGTCCACTGCAACACCATCTGAACAAAGATACCCTTGCTATAAATACCCATACTCAAGTACCGTCTTGCCTTGACTATATGTTATATGTGGGGCTGCTGCTGAAAATGAACCAGAAACTTAATTTGGTCCATAAAAAAGCAGTCACATTTGGAGGCTGGATTGGACAATTCACTCATATTGTGCCAGAGCTCTGTTATTTTTTTTTGGCTTCCAGGCTATTTCTGTACTTTTGTATGTAAGTATTTTTAAAGCTCTTAGAAAACAGAGTAGGGTTCCTGAAGGATTGGTTCTTTCCAATAACCTGTCAAGACTTTAAGATATTCTTCTGAGGTTATTCTAATGTATAAATCTTTAGTCGTTTTAAAGTCATTGAAAGTTTTGATGCTAGTCTAAGTCTGTTATTCCAGTATTATTCTGTGCTGCTAGTTTTATGCTTCTACTTCTTTAATGAATTAAGCTCCTGATAAAAGCTTTGTTAAATTGATTAAATAAAGTCTTAACATTTTTCTTCCTTCAAAGGAGAAAAATGTATTTGCTTAAAGCACTGGATAATAATAAGATTTTGCATTTTACAGATAAACGGAGCCGACATCTAGGTGCTGATGGTGTATATTTAGATGATCTCACTGACATGGAGCCAGAGGTTGCTGCACTCTATTTTCCTAAAAAGTATGCATGCTATAAACTAACATTTACCATTTATGGAAATAGTTTTTTCAGGATCTTGTGTCCCCACGTACAAAATTCTGTCCTTTATACTTTTCAAGGAAATCTGTACTCCGATGAGGATTGTCTTAAATCACATAGCCAAAATTTACGTCTTTCTCTATTATATTAATGCTTTTTAACACAAATTAGGTTTTAAAAAAAGAGTCAAATTTAAGAAATAAAATTAAAGGATCATGCAAAAAGTATCTGCTGGAGAATTATCATACCTCTCTGGCTATGGTGCTAGAAGGACAGTTTTTTTTAAATAACAAAACAAACCAAAAAGTGGTACATTGGTATTCTTATAAAAATTGGGTGCCCATCCAAAAGAATTGCTGGGAAGCCATGGACTGTACATTGTTTTAAAAAAATAAATGAATGTCAAAGGTACTGGAGTAAGACTAGAAGCAAGCATTGGGAGTGTATTTTTTTTCCTTGCCTGTTCTAATATGTTGCCTAGAAGCGCCTTTGTTTGAAGGCTTTAATTGCAAGAGAGATTCCCTGTACCAGTTGCTTAACCTGTCAGGGCTGAGAAGTAGGCTAGGTGTCAGCTGAGGAAATTCATGAGCCCTCTGGCTTAGGAAGGAGTGGAGGTTGCTAATTCTTTTTCTCTTCTCAGTGGTGATCATATTGCCCCCTTGAAGAATCTGAGTGAAAATAGTCCCCGCTCAGCCAATCAGTCCCCTCAATCAGTTGGAAGTTCAGGAGTGGACAGCGGTGTAGAGAGCACTTCAGATGGAATCCGAGACCTGCCATCCATTGCCATTTCACTTTGTGGGGGACTTAGTGACAATAAAGAAATATCAAAAGGTACGCTCAACACACTTCCTACTTCTGCTTTAAAATACTGTAATGCCTTGTCTGAATGCGCCAATCCCTTTATGAAGAACTGTACAGTGACCTCTTGTGGATGTTCTATGGTAAGGTGCGTGTGACAGAAGGCTTACAAACAATTCATTTAAACAATCTGCATATAACATTGTGTTCTTCACTACCACCTTGCGAGTTTACAGTCCCTGTATATCAAAATAACTATGCTAAATCATGGCAAGAGATTAAAAAAAATGTTGAAAGGTGGAGGAACCTGAAGCTCTCTTGCTTAGGATCAATCGCAATTATTAACATGAATGTATTACCCCAGATAAATTACCTATTTCAAATGGCACCAATCAGAATTTCTGAGAAAACTTTACAAGAATGGCAAGCCACTGTCAGTAAATTCATACGAAGTGGGAAAAGACCTAGAGTTAAGCAAAAAAATTCTGTAAGATTCTAAAGAGAGCGGTGGTCTTGCCCTTCCAAATGTTAAATTGTATTATAAAGAAGTACTGATTAGAATTACCACCTGAATGTGGCAAGGGCTCTTAGTCGCTTCAGTGATGCTGAGAGTGATGGCAGGACCTCTTAGGAGGGTCCCCCTGCCAGAGAAGTCAAAAGGGTGGTGGTAGTGAAGGTAACAATAATTCTCAATGTGGGTGAAGGCAGGTGGGGCTCTGCAGGTGTGAGGGAAGCCAGTGCAACTCAGGAAGAGAACCTTTTCTGTCATGGTGCCCACCCTCTGGAACATCATTCTCCCAGAGATTAGACTTGCCTTGACCCTACTGGCTTTCCATAAGGCCCTGAAGACCTGGTTCTGTTACTGAGCCAGGCTGTAGGGTTGAGCCCATAGCATGGTTATACTGGTTACCCTGGCTGGTTTTATCTCAGCTGCTATATTTGTCATTTATCGTTTTTGTTACTATGTTTTTATCTGTTTTTATCCCTTGATAGCTTCATACCTTTGAGATGGGTGGCAATATTAACTGAATAAATAAATCAATAAACACAGTGAGGAGTAGGAACCTGAAAATTAAACTGAAACAAAGCAATAACAAATGATGTCTATATTGTTGCAAGTCTATCTCTATTAGTATTATAATCTAGTGAACATTAATGCTATATAAGTGCATGTATCTACTAGAGGTGCAATGGTGGGAAACTTGAGGTATTCTATGACAAATTATAAGAGGTGCTAAATAAAAGAATATAGTTCTACTAATGGGTTTTGGAATGCAAAATGTAGAGAAATGAGGGAACTTGAAATTATAGAAAGGTGGGGTTGGGTAAGTGCAACAATGCCCAAGATAGAGAATCCTCTTCACAAAATTTTGTAAAACTATTTCCAGCATCTGCTTCAAAGATAAATATAGACTCTCCACATGGACATCATCAGACGCACAACCATAGAATCACGTTAACAAGATAATAAGAAACAAAGATGGAGAAGTACAATGCAGTGAGCCAGACATTTCTGTGTGCAGATTGTGGAACAGGCCATAAATTATTGGTGCCATGTGCATAAAAATTAAACTTAGAACATTGGAGAGAACAGGTGGAGAGAATATTGGAGAGAACAAGATTTGATCCAGCTAGTTAGAATATAAAATCAACTTATAGAACTGATTCAGTGTGTGAAAGAGAACCAGAAGAGCTATGTAAGGAGTTGAGAGACATGGTGAAAACCAAATTACAAAAAACATTGCCAAAATTTCAAAGATAAAAAGTTGTAAGTGGCTTTTAGAGCAAGCTATCTTAATAGGCTGAAAAAGATGAAGGATGAAAGTCCTGGAAGGGTACATGAAACTAAATGTACATTTCTAGCATCAGGCAGGAAAAAAACAAGGAAAAAATTCAATACAGAATATCAACAACTGGGAAAAAAAACAAGAAAAAGTTTTTAAGAAGTTCAGAGAAACCACAAGACACCGTACCACTAACAGAAGAAAACATGGAAGAAGCAAATGAAGTAAAAAAAAAAAAGATGGAAAGACTATACTGATACCTTTCATAGCTAGGATTTTAGAATGACAGAAATGTTTTTAAAGAAAGAATATATGGAGGGAGCTATTCTACTGAAAAGTGACCCATGGCAGGTAGTAGGAAAGTAGGTGCGGATGAAATTGGCAGTGAGCTGTTTAAAGCTGCAGAAGAAAAGGCATTTTAGGTGCAAAAGTACACTTAAATATGAAACAGTATTTATGTGGCTTAGATATTGGAAAATATCAGTATAATAACTAAATCAGAGAAGGGAGATGCAAGCACATGCACAAATTACCAAACAATTGCCCTAATTTCTTAAGCATATAATCCATATCATATAAGCATATAATGGAAGGATAGAGCCATGTGTGGAAAGAGGTATGCCTAACGAGCACGTACGTTTAGTAAAAGTCAGAGGAATAGGTAAAATAAGAGGGAAGGAGCAAGAGAATCCAAGAAAAGTTTACCCTTCGGTTTATCCAAAGCCAAGACTGACTTGTAGCAGGTTAGTAAGTATGCCGGGACATCTGTGTATTTTTCTGAGGAATCTATATTATATAAGAAGCTACTCTAAGAACTGAGTTTAGAGGAACAGAATAGAATAGGAGGGGAAAGACAGATTTGGAAGAAATGATGAAGTATAAGACATTTCAATGACAGCAACGATCAGAACAGCTAAAGTAATTATCTTTCCTATGGTAATATAAGCTGTGAAACCTGTCAGCTGAGAAACAGCAAATGATGGATTTGGAAACCATTGCTAGGAGAAAAATAGACTCAAGGAGAACCAATTAATCAAACTTAGATCAAATAAAGACAGGCAGCTCTTCTGCAGTGCTGATCAACAAGGAGAAACTCACATACGATGGCTGGTGTGAGTCTTCCGGGCTGTGTGGCCGTGTTCTGGAAGTTTTGTTTCCTAACGTTTCGCCAGCACCTGTGACCGGCATCTTCTGAGTGCAGGAGCACAGAATTGTTAGCAATTCAGTAGAAGAAAAACCCCTGCCTAATCCCCAGGAAGATACACACAGATTCTGACACCAAAACAAGCAGCCACTCAGTAACCCAACACCCCCACACACCCCCAATCCCCCCCTTCAGATCTCTATAAATACCCACAAAAGGGCCACATCACCCTGGGCACAGAGAGAACTGCTCCTGTCTGTGCTCCTGCACTCTGAAGATGCCGGTCACAGGTGCTGGCGAAACGTTAGGAAACAAAACTTCCAGAACATGGCCACACAGCCCGGAAGACCCACACCAGCCATCGTATGCCGGTCGCGAAAGCCTTTGACAATACACAGAAACTCACATAGTTTGGGCTTGTAATACAAGCAGAAAAAATGAGTATGTTTGGCAGAGGTGAATAAAGTAAAAGAATGGGAAGACAAAGAAGGTGGATAAACAGGATCAAGGAGATTACAGAATTGTCTGTAGAAGAGCTGTTAGTTATTGTTGGGAACAGGTTGAGGTAGAGATCGCTTGTCTGTGCAACTACTTGGAGCTGAGCTTGACTCATTCGTACTTAACTAATTAGCAATTTATATGCTGCTCCAAGTTGTTTATCTGGCTTCTTGCACCTAATCTTAGGTCATGTTTTAAATTTTGTTTTCAGTGCTATTTTAAAATGCAACATTCATGCTTATTCATATCAGTATGTGCTAGTTGATTTACTTTAATTTATTATTTTTTTTAATCTACAAAAACACATCCAGGGTGGAAGGCAGGTTTGATTGCAATCACTAGCCACCAGTTGGCTTCAGATTAGGAAATTATACATTGGAAGGAGTGTACCTCCAAAGTTATCTTACTGGTCACAGTGTGTGTGTATATGTGTGTCTGTCTATATTTTCAAAGGAGATTCACCTTTCAGTTTTGTAATTGTCTGTACACATTTTATTCAAATACGTGATTCAGTCTAGACTCCACATTCAGTCTATTCTCTCAAGTATAGTCAGAACAGGCAAAGTTGAACATGTGAGTTTATCTGTTGGAATTCCTAGAAAGAGAACTGAGATGAGTAGAGTCCACTTTAAGCAGCATTCCCTACTTCCTACTACTTTCTACTTGTTGGGAGTCCTCAAGTAACTAGCTTTCTATTTCTTTTCCTCTAGAACTATGCTATGCTGACTATCTGAGATCACAGGCTCTGAAATTGCTTTTATGCTTCCCTAGTTTCTTTGCTGTCTGCTGGTCTAGCATCAGTAAAAGAAAGGGGCTAATTCTACAATATTACAAGCACTATTTTGACCTGTTAATTGAGGTTCATTCATGTTTTTGTCTTCCAAACAGAAAAGTTTTTAGAACAAGAAGTCACTTACCAGCAGTTTGTGGACAATCCAGCTATCATTGATGACCCTAACCTTGTAGTGAAGATTGGAAACAAGTGAGTACAGCTCAGCAGAACAAAGTGTGTGCAGCAACAAACAGGAATAGTTGAAAATGAACAGATTAAAAAAGAGTGGCTTGAGCAATACGTTGAAATTAACAGGATGGAATTTAAAGTGAGAAATGTAATGTTCTGCATCTGGGCAGGAAAAATGTAAGGGACAAGTATATAGATTAATGACCATTCGTTCAGTGAATTTACGAATGAAGTTACGACGGGGCTGAACGAAAAGTAGTTACGACTGGCCCTTGAAGTTACAATGTTGCAGTGCCCCTGTGGTCATGTGATCAAAATTCAGGCACTTGGCAGCCTGCCCACATTTACGACTGTAGCGTGTGCTTCAACTCTCCCCACCTGCCTATCTCTCCCATATCTGCCCTTTTAGCTGCCCTTTTAGCCATCTTGCACTCCACTGCCTCTGCCACCTGCAAATGACTTTCCTTCCTCTGCTGACGAGGTGCACCTGGCTGAGGGAGCTGCTGGCCCTTTCACAAGGCCGCGAGAGGCTCCAGCAGCTGCCTCATCAGCAGGAGGAAGAAGACAGTGGGAGGAAGCAGGGGTAGGTAACAACGTGCAGGGCATCCAAAAGGGCAGGGATGGGATGGGATGGGATGGGATGGGATGGGATGGGATGGGATGGGATGGGATGGGATGTGGGGAGTCAAAGCAGAGGCAAGCATGGCAGGGTAGGAGAAGTGTGAGATCCTTGCCTAATGATGGCGCAGTCCTGCCTAATGACCACAACCAGGACTACTGGAACTGCCATCACTAAGAGGAGTAGTCACGCAATGTTTCTTCACTAATGCTTCGCTTAGTGATGGAAATTCTGGTCCCAATTAGGGTTGTTAAGTGAGGACTTGCAGTAGTTCACATGAAAGGGATCTGGTGTCCTTCTCAACTTCAAGTTAAATATGAGCCAGCAGTGTGATGCAGCTGCTAAAAAGGAAATGCTACCTAGGCATGATTCACAGGAGTAGAGTCCAGATCATGGGAAGTAATTGCTCTACTGTAACTTGTTTTGACCCGCTTTAGAGTCCTGTATTCAGTTCTGGGCACCATTGTTCAAAAAGGACAGTGGCAAACTGGAGCAAGTTAAGAGGGAAGCTACCAAGATAGTGAACGGTCTAGAAACCAAGCACTTGAGCAACAGTTAAGGGTTATGTTTAGCTTGCCAAAAAGATGTGTAAGGGAAGATAGGATAGTAGTCTTCAAATATTTGAAGAGTTGTCACACAGAAGAGGGAGTAGGGTTATTTTCTATAGCACTAGAAGGAAAGGCCAAAACCAGTGAGTTAAAAAAATACAAGGAAGGAAGATCAGGCTAGACACCAGGTGGAACCTCCGGATTGTATGAGCTATTAGCCAGTGAAGCAGGCAGCCACAGGAAGTGGTAAATTCCCATTTGCTAGTGGTTTTCACTCAGAAGCTAGATGACCCTATCAGAGATGATCTAGTAGAGCCTGCAATGAACAAGGGGGTGTTGACCTTGAAGGTATCTTCCAGGTCCATGATGCTGTTTCGATAGTAGCAGGCATAGTGAATTTCCTTCAGTGAAATAAAACTGAACCAAGAATTTGGTCACTTTCCATTTTAATCTGAATTTACCTACCTGCATCAAAATGCACATCCTTCTGATCTGCCCATGTTAGAAAAATAGTCGTGTGAGTTTTGTATTAGAAAAATATGCCGCAGAAGTGCTTATATGGGGGAAAATACACATTCAAAAAATTGGAAGAAATTAATTGAAGTTTGGGAAAAAAAAAACCGAGATGCTGAGTGAAACCTAATTTGATATCCCTCCCTATATAGGAGTAGATTTATACTTGTACTGAGATGAATATTAATGTAAGGCCTGAAGTGGTTTAATTAAAAGCTTTGACGCCAACCCATTTCAGTAGAAATAATTGCTTCAAGTTCTGTGATAATTTGCACGTTTAAAGGATTGCATATAAACTGTTTTGCTCTCTTAGATACTACAATTGGACAACAGCAGCTCCCCTCCTACTGGCAATGCAAGCATTCCAGAAACCTTTGCCAAAGGTGAGACTGACCACGCCAGCCTTTTGGGGAAAAGGTCCTTGCTGTCTTTTTCCAGCCAGACTCAGTGTGTTGTAGTGTTAGGCTCCCCACCTACAGTATCTCATCCTGGGCCTCTGCTTTCTTCTGCCCCTGACTAACACACAACTGTAACCCATTGTGGGGTGATGTAACTCTTTTGCTTTCTTTTTCTAGCAGTCTTTTTATTCTTTGGCTTAGAATGACTAGAGAGTTGCGACCTTAGAGGTTCAGGTTATTTATATTAATATTTATATTTATAATCTGAACCTCTAAGGTTATATATTTTTAAAAAATGACCGTGTTTCCAGGACAACATTTAACTACCTCCTCCTTGGTTCAGTAGAAGGTCGAAAGTAGAATGATGTGTCATTTCTTCCAGTTTGCCTAGTTGAAGATGGATAAGAAGTATTTATGCAGCTCAGTGATTATAATAATTCTTGGGCCATGAACTGGCACTTCCTAGATTTTGCATGAACTTGCAATTATGTTTTCAAAAACCATTGTTTGTGGTGGATTAGACAGTTTGCCTTGAGAATCGTCTTTTTGCAAAGAGAAAGACAGCCTGGATTAATAAGTATCTTTGTACTGAATAAAATGAAGTTTGGAGCTGCATGATATTCTGTTGCATGTTTTCCCTGTGTCTGGATGTATCCTATCAGGGGACGAAATTCAGAGTTTAGCATCTTGCATATAAAATCTCTCTTACCCACCTCTGAAACTAATTGATTTTATTAGACATGCTTATATCTAGTTAGAAGTCTATTGAGGACTTCTCTGTAGTCTGATAGTGACATAAAAATCTAACCCAAGATAGTTCTTAATTTGTGTAGCATTTGATGAAATAATGGACTCAGTAGCGTCCTTCTGTCTCGCTGCATATTGATTGATTGATCTATCCAGTCAGTAAAGTTGCAACAGATAAATTGAAGCCAGGATTTGCTACAACGCTTTTGCTTTTGCTTTTTCCTTACCGCAGCAAATTCCATTAAGAGACCAAAGATCATTGACAGGACACACACCACTGGCTATAATAGTTTCAGGCTGTTTCCATTACTGAATTCAAATTCAACAGAATTTCATGCGCTTTCAAACAGTATACCGTACAGGTAGTCCTTGGTTGTTCAGCAACTGTTTAAAGTTATGACGGTGCTGAATGAGAGGGACTTACGACCGATCCTAGAAATTCCAAGTGTCACACAAGGTCATGTGATTCAGATGCTTGGCAACCTGCTCACACTTATGAGAGCTGTAGCGCTCCATGGTCATGTGATCACCATTTACAACCTTCCCTGGAGGCTTCCCACAGGCAAAGTAAATGGGGAAGCCGGCAGGGAAGGTCACAAGTCACTCTGGTAAGTCCCCCCAGCCTCCCTTAGCTTGGGCGGCGCGCTTCCCCCAGCCTCCTTTCGCTCGCATGGTGCCCTGCTTCCTCCAGCCTACCTGCACTCGTGTGACTCTATGCTTTGGTTTCCCTGGCCTCCCTGCACTTGCAGACAGCCTGTGCCGGGCCTTCCAGGGCCTCCCCTGGCCTCTCCTACTCTCCCCAGTACTCCCACTCTCCTAACCTGGGACTCTTGTTGCTTCCTACTTAATGACCTGCGCATCTTAGGGTTACAATAGCAATTGGGACTGCCGGGATTGTTGTCACTAAGTGTCGCAGTCATTTGATGTCACACTTTATGACCACATTGCTTAGTGACGGCAATTCTGCCGTCGTAACCCGAGGACTACCTGTAGTATTTCCTGGGACATTGCTCACAGAAAACTGGATCTCTATGTTACTGCTGTAAGCCTGAAGGGAAGACCCAGTACTGTATGCATCTCAGATGTTGCTGTTCCAAGTCTCATCTACTATAGCCAATCCTTAGAGATGAAGGTATTTGTAGTCCAGCTTCTGGTTCCCTCACTGCTGCAGCCTTCATGTGGAATGTGAATGTGAACAGATTGAAAAGGCATGGCCTTTGAGGTAAAAGGTACGAAAACAATTGTTGCTTCCCTGATGGCTCACTCACACATGTAGATTGTAATTTTCATCAATAATTAAAACCTCCTGGTGAATTATCCAAAGTATTTTAATGCATTTTAGGATTAATCCTTGTGCACTTGAATACATTGGATGTTAATTTTAATCTTAATCTAAGGAGGGAATAATTGTTTTCGTTAGAATAAGAAGTCATCTATACTTACAGTATATAAATTCACTGTTAGTAAGTTTTGGTAAGACAATATCTTTCTCTTCAGCAGTTTGTAGCTATTTGGTTCTCATATTAATGCTGATGTTTCATTCAACTATTATAATGTAACACTTTTTCCTAAATTAGTAATTATTAGAAGATAGTAAAACCTTGTGCTATTTTTCTATTATTTTTATGGAAGATAGCCATGCTGAATTCCTTACTAATAAAATGTCTTTATAATTTATACTAAACAGAATTAGTATTTCTTTCTCCCCATTTTTGGTACATTATACTAAACTTATTATGCCTTTTTTGTTCCCATTTTTCTTTCCTTTTTTTTTTTGAATTTTTGAAGTGTTCTTGTTTAAGTTATTTCCGTACAGTTCTGGATACCATTAGGTTTTGCTTTAACAAGATTTGTAGTCCACAGATAGTATGTTTCCTTTGACTTGCTTTGCCTGAGTTTAAATTGTCTCTGTGTTCTTCTTTTGTTCTTTAAGAAAATCTTTTGTTTGCATGAATTAAATTACTTTTTGTTTAGTTCCATTATTTATGTTACCATCCATTTATCACAGGCCACTGTGGATTCTATAATGAGGGATAAGATGCCCAAAAAAGGTGGAAGATGGTGGTTTTCATGGAGAGGGAGGAATAGCTCTATCAAAGAGGTAAATCTGGGACTAACTTGAATTTTTCTTTCAGACCGCTAAACACACCCACATGCACACACGCACAGGGGCTGCATGAAATCTGTCAATTGCTGACTTTCCTCAAAGATTCCAAACTTAATAAAATGAACTGCTGAACACTAAACACTAGCATTGCTTTGCCTGTTTGTTTTGGGACCTACCTAGCCCATGTTTTAAACTAGAGACAGTGCAGAGCACCAAAGACTAGGCACCCATTACTAGAAATGTCATGCAATCATGCTGGAGGTGATAACAGAATGGAAATTTTACTTGCAGATTTTTAAGTCATATAAACTATGGCAGCAAAGATTTTCAGGAAGCTGAATATTGTACTTCTTGATATAATGTTTCACGTTCTTTCTTCAACATTACAAAGCTGGTCAATACTATTTCCCTGAATTATATTCAAGGCCACTGTCAAGAATTTAAGAATTCATTCACAGGTTTGGGGCCTGATCCATCTGACTAAGCATTTTGTCTCCTGCAGAGCTTGCCAAAATGCTTCTGGGAGATCTTAAAAAAAGGCATGATTATGATGGCTAGGCCCTTTTAGTATTCTCTTTTTTGACAGTGGATATAGATGGCCCATTTAGCTAATGCCTTACAATCATTAAATGGAATAATGCAGCTGTGATTCACTTCTGTATTGCTGCCAAGAAAACAACATGGATGTATCCATGAAGTCATCAGTGAGTCAAGTTTCATTCAATGTTACTTTTACCTTTTACTTATCACTAATATTCCCCATTAAACTTGTAGAAGTAAGTCCTGGAAGAGGCTGTTAATCATAATAATGCTCCATGTGTGAATCACCTGAATAAATGTTTCCCTCATAGCTGGATAGAACAGAACTATGGTTGCCAGTAAGAATGGATTTTGCAATAAAGTAATGCCACAACTGCGTTAATTTTTGCGTAGCTTTCTTTTCTTAAAAGTAGGAAGACAATGGACTGTGCATAATTTTCAAACACTATTCATCACCTCCTTACATTTTACCCATAGGAGGCAAAGCCAGCGCAAGGTCTCAGTGGAAAAGAAGAGAAGGGTATTGCAGACAGGTATTGGACATTTCTATTCTGTTTTTAGAGTTTTAAAATTCTTACCTCACTTATCTATTCCACATTGCAAGAAAATACCTCATGGGTTTCATAACTAAGTAAAATTTGAATCTAAATTGGGTGTGCCTATAAGTGTGTTTGGTATTGCAACTTTTCGGCGCAAATGTGGAAACTGCCCTTTCGAATTTCAGGTAGGTTACATATTTGAATGCAAAAGAAAACTTTACCAGTCAGTGATTTGAGCTGAGATCTTTGACTTTTTGTAAATCAAATATTGTGTTTTAATGTGAAGGCATTTAATTCTAATATTGCTTTTAATGTAATTATTTTGAATGTTGTATGTGTAATTGTGTGCCTGATTACAGGTTTGCTGTTCATTTTGGATAAATCTGATATTTACTAGCATGCATCTTTTTACTCATGGTAGTATCAAGGGTTGGCCTTGGTGTTATTAACAATCTCAACTTGCTTGCATATCATCAGTCGGCAGTAGAGTATGTTCCATTATAAAGAATTAATAATAATAATAATAATAATAATAATAATAATAATAATAATAATAATGCAGTTTAGGAAGTTTGGGATTTTTGTCATGTATGAAATGAAGAATGTTAAGCACAGTGTGCTAGAATTATGTCCTCTACACTATATGTGTGTAACTGTGTATATGTGTGCATATGCATATGCACTTGCATATTTGTAAGTGTAAATGAGATCCATAGCATTTACAGACTGGTTGCACTGCATTGTGTTCCATGGAAAAAACATTCCTACTTGATTTGTATTTTCTTCTGTCAGGTTTTCCTAAAAGAAATGAGCACTGCAGAAATATATTGATGCAGGGTTTTTTTGTAAACAAACAGTATAGGAAATAAGAATGTAAGATGTGTGGCTAATAAAATACTTCTGAAATAAGAAAACTGCGCTTTCAAAGATTCAAGAAATATTTTATAGAGATCTAGGAAAGATTTTAAAAAAAATGAAAACTAGAACCCCGAAAATGTGCCAGACCTCTGTTCATAAAAAACTCTGTGCCATAAAACTCCTTAGGCATTGACTAAGGGCACTTCCACACAGCCACAACTCTCAATGCTTGTATTCTCAGCAGTATTTTGCAGGGCACAGTAGTTTCCCCATTGTTGAGCTCTAATCTCTTGTGGAGTCAGGTGGGACATGGAGTTGTACAAGTCTTGGATAGATACAACTGCTGTATATGGAGTGGACCTAAGTTTGGCTAAGAGGACAGTGGACACAGCATGGGTGATGGGTCCAGGAATTGGTTTTCTCTTTCCACTGGATAGTGCATATATTTGATGGTCTTTCCTAGTGAGTTTTAATCTTTGGAAAAATCCTTTGTCACCCTGAAGAAGTGACAATTTTACAATCTTATTTTATAGTGTTAATAATGATAGTGAATGATTTTCGTTAAGCAGCAACTGATCCATCTAATTTAACCATTATGTTTACTTTCTTGGACTATGGAATCCTACCGAAGCTGGGCATCAAGAATACATCATAACAGTTATAAATTATACTTGGCTTATTCAGTGTACTTTTAAAATATCTCAGGATAATAAAGGAAAGTTGTTGTTATTGTTCAGTTATTAAGTCGTGTCTGACTCTTCGTGACCCCATGAACAATATCACGCCAGGCCTTCCTGTCCTTCACTGCCTGCCTGAGTTTGCTCAGTTTCATGCTCATTGCTTCAGTGATAAAGGAAAGTGCTCCTAGTCTAACTTACCAGTGGCTGACTAGTTTGCCCAATGTCTTCTGCAGCTGTATATTACCTAGTGATATAAAATTCTTGTTATCCTGACAAGAATCCATAGAGGTAGTTGGGGGAGTATATATACTGCAAGGACTTGGGAATCAGGATTGGAAAGAAGATTTGATTTCAACATAGCAGCGTCCTCTTGTACAGCACTATCTTCTACAGGGATGAATAGTAGCCATTCATTTGTATGGAGAAAACAAAGTAGAACCCTTGTGGGACAGGATTGTAATGGGGACTTCCCCAGTGATTTAGTAGTTAAGAGTTATTCTTATCTGCATAGTGCTATTCTGAATTTTGATATAGAACATTTAAAAGCTTGACATAATATTGGGAAACTAGGTGGAAAGTTAGAAATGTTTCTTGTATGTTTATAGTAATTCAACAATGTTTTGAGATTATGCTAAACAACAATTAATGCATGAATTACACAAATCTCAGACAATTTTTTCTGTAGTATCTGATTATTAGGGTTCCTTCAGGGTTGCTCTAGGATAGTATTTCTTAAGCAGTAGAGTTTTTTATCCTTGGTCCAAAATTCCTCCCAATTCCACAGTTCTTGAAAAACTAGCAATTAGTTACTATACTGGGACTAAAAGATCATATTAGCACATGACATGGCTACTTCTGCAGGTTTTGTCACTGAGCCCTAAAATACAACTCTGTTGCAATTAATCCACTTTTTGTAGGCAAAATGGGTTTCCTTCATTCTTCCAAGTTTAAAGATCTGACAGAAACATATTTAAATGAACGCTATGTGCAAGTAACCAAGTCAGGTTTATCTAATTCAGTCATTTCAAAAGAACAGATTCTTAGAATAGCTTAAATACAGTCCTGAGAGAAAAATGGTACATTATTATGCTCTGTTAGACATACTGCATGTTAATGCATTTATTTCCAAATTGCTTCAACCTTATTTTACTAACAAATTTCTTTTGGGGTTTTCATGATGAAAATCCTTTTTTAGTTCTGGTAGCATAATCACTATGATTGACTCTATTTGTCTCTGCTGATACCTTATGGTATTATTTCATTGTTTTTTACATTAAGGTGGCAGTTATGGGAACTTCAACAAATACCAAGTTATGAATAATCAGAGGCAGAGATAAATGATTGTGAATTTTAATCAGTATGATTACAGCCTGTATGGTTTAGTGAGTGGAATAACAGATTAGGATTGCAGAGACTGGTGTTCAATCACCACTCAGACAGGAAAGAAACTCACTGGGCCATCTTGACCCAGTCACTCTTCCTTGGCCTAACCTACCAAACAGAGTTTATTTGTAATAAATAAAATAATAAACAGTGGCTGAGGAAAACATATTTACAAACCTGTCTCCTCAGCGAGATGGTACAGAAAAGGAATGCAAAAGGAATGTATTCTGTGTCTGATGTTTCAGAATCAAAGATGAATCTTCTTCAAGTGATGAAGACCACCGAACTACCAGTGAAGCCACTCACCCTCCACTGTTGTCTGGAATAGGTTATAAAAAGACTCTTCGACTCAGTTCGGAACAGCTTGTAAGTAATATTTGTCATCAGGATTTCTCCCCATTATCATCATGCAGAATCCATCTATGATAATAAAGCAGCTCCCAGTATCAAATAAAGGATTTCCTGGGGCATCAGTTCCTATAAGAGAAGAAGAAGCCATTGATTGGTGGTCCAACAGCCCCAGGTATGCCCACACTGGAAGCCTGTTAATTGAACTGTAGTAGGACAAAACAATCAAACAACATCCACTAAGACTGAGGGAAAAGGGAGAAAACTGACAAGTTGAGAAAAATCAGTAAATTTTATGGGACCATAAATAAATACATTTTACTTACCATATTTATTGGGGCATAACACGCACAGGTGTATAACATGCACCTTAATTTTAAGAGGGAAGTTAGAGTAAAAAACCCTTAAATTTAAAATAAATGACTTGGAAGCAAAATAAAGGGAGCTTTGAACTTTTTGTTTATTAATATTTATACCACTTATAAGGTAAATACGTAATATGAAAGAAAAAGCACCTTTTTGAACGAAGAACACCAGCGCTCCCCATCACTCGCGCTAGCTCCTGAGCTCCGCAGATCAGGAGGTGAGTGGCAGAGGAGTGAGCGAAAACCGGCGCTCCCCTGAGCTCCGCAGAGCAGGAGGTGAGTGGTGGGGGAGTGAGCGAATATCCGCGCTCACCTGAGCTCCGCAGAGCAGGAGGTGAGTGGTGGGGGAGTGAGC